CTTTTGGTGTTCAAGAGGTAAAATATAATTCGATCTTACACTAAACAAAAAAAATTTGTTTTTATTATGCAAACAAACGTAAGAAAGGACATTTTTACCTAATAGTAAATGAATAGCGCGCCAAATAATTATACAACATGACATCATTCACGACGACACGTTATTAAGTTGGTTTCCAGTTCTGTGTACGCTGGTATTTGATTGAACTAACGTAAAGGGCTTAAATTCAAAAGAGTGAAATTATCAAATTGATAATTTCACTGTTTTAAACAGTGAAATTATCAGTTTTAATTCACTGATATATTTCTACAAACCATCGAAAAGCATGTAATAATTACTAATAACCCTTTAACCAGGGAGCATTCGAAATACTTTTTAACAAGATCCCAAAGCGTATTTAACATTTGGAATAAATATTATGCGTCAATATTTAAAGAGTTAAACATTAATAAATCTTCGTTTTGACTTAATAAAATATTTCAGATCTATATTCATATGAACATATACTAGACACGGCAATATCGCCTAAAATCAAATAAATTTCTATAACCCTGATATAAAGATATTTGAGAATATAACATTTTATTTAAACACATTTTTTGTGCAATTATTTCTAGCTAATAGTAATCAGAAACAGACTGATGCATTCAAACGATAATTGTATCAGTGCAGATGAATTGAAAGCAGCTTTTACTACAATGAAGAAACTTCTACAAGACGATATATTCAAAAACTTGGAGGAATGTACAACGGCGGTTAAAGAACTGGATAAGGTATAAACAATTACTTTATGCTATTGATTCTAAAATAAATAAATATAAATATATAAATATAAATATATAAAAGATTTTTTTTTCATTTGAAGAGACTACTTTTTTATATTCATTACATGTATCACTCTATTTACTTGATCACTAAATTGCACATATGTATAATTATTCTTTCTTACTTCCAGTTAAAAAAGGAAAATATAATTTGTGAAATTGATGAATCAAACGAAACTTGGAAACTCGCCATAGATATTCAGAACAAAGCACGTGGAGATAAAGAAATTGCAGATCCAAGTCCTGAAGCCACGCACATATTGCTGACAAAAGTTCAAATTCAACTTCAGGAGGAAAAGGTGCTACAGCTACAGTCAGAGCTCTTAAAATCTAAAGAACAAATTCAAAATGATCAAAGGCAACGGGAATATGATCGAAGGCAACGGGAATATGAGCAAGAAAGGGCTAGAGATAATCTTAAAAGGCTAGAAAGCCAATTGGAAGATTCTAAACACAAACATCAAATTGATATGCAATATTTAAATGCAAAAAATGAAGAACTTACAAAAGAGGTAAATAAGCTAGTAGAGCATAATCCGACATTACGTGGAAGAATCCTTAAAGGAACGGCAACTGGAACAGGTGTCGGTTTGTTAGGTGGACCAGTCGGAGCATGTGTAGGGGGCGCTGCCGGAGGTGTGGTGGGTGGTATTTCATACTTCTGGGACAGATTAACAAAATAGTAACTGCGTAAAATGAATGCGGCAAAGTTTTCTATTTTGATATATGGTTTGCCTTTTAAAAAGATCAGTTTTTGCTACATTGCCTACAGCAATACTTTTGTGCATATGTATATCCTATGAACAGTTGAAAGGGGGCGTTTTCAGAGGTGAACTCCATTTTTCGATTCTGGAAACACGACAGTTCCATTTAAAGAAACACATATTACAGTTTTTTTAGATTTAAAAATTAAATGGTGTTACAAACCTCTGATATAACCTTTGAAGGTAAAAACAGCTTTACCGCAATCATAGTATCTTTAATGATACTTCTTGTTAAGTATGTGACAGTTTTCCAAATCATAATGTTAGGGATTATCCTACAATTATGTATTGATAATGTTTTGAAAGAATGAAACAGCATTCGTTGTCTCAATATACTTTATCGTAGGTTATGCAAGCTTCTTTTAACAACAAGTTATTCTTTCAATCACATGCTCTCAGTTTATGCAATGTTGTGTGAATACAAATATTAAAAGGAAACACTGCAAATATCACTTTCAAGGCACATTCTCTCTGTGCATGCGTGAGTGCGTTTGTTTGTTGTGTTTTTTTGCTTTTTTACATACTTTAATAAGACTTGAATATTGTCTAACACTTATTTTTTATAACCTCTATTTGTATGTATCTCAGTGATTAAACCTGTATCGTATTGAATAAAAGTATAAGCAGTTGTGTAGGCGTTGTCTTGTGTTCAAGAAAATGCATTAATACCTAGCTAAATATAGTATGTTACTATACAATGTACATTATATTGTAACAAAATATAGGGTAGTTCTTCGGAGGCGTTCATTATAAAATTACAGGTGTGTAAAGAGTTAGTTTTGAAAATGCGAATGTCTATGCCTATTTTGACTAAATCCGTTTGATTTAACATGTTATTTGAAAGAGGGAATCTTCAATTAAAAGATAGGGATAATATTATCTGCAGTAAACGAATACAGTCAAAATTGCTTGGCATAAACGCTCGCATATTCAAAGGTAGTTTTCAAAAGGAACACGTCTGGAAGTTTGGCAACAAACGCCCTCCATATATTTCAAGGCCATTTTTAGGTCATGCGATGTTCGCTAATTAAGCAGCTTATTGAATACACTATTATTACTTCTATCAAGAAAGTGAACGGTTGTGGAACATTCGACCGTTGCACAGGAGAGTAATCGTGACAATGACCTAACCTTGGGACCTGATTTATGCGCGCGTAAAGTCAACACATTTATTCCGAGTTCGAGTAAATTTTAAATCCATCCAGGAATGATAGAAGTGTTGACATGAAGATCAGTGTATTTTTATGAACAAAAATCATTGTAAGTCAAAGCGTGAACTTAACCTTTGAACTAGAGTCGTAAATCTCTTAAATTAGAAAAAGAACAAATTCATTAAAATTAATCATGCACATGTTGAGAATTTTTTTTTGTTTTATTATTTTGTTTCTTTTTTATGGGTTTTACGTCATACCAGCACAGTTTAGGTAGTATGTCGAGTTTCCAGCTTTACTGGTGGAGGAGACTTCATGTGCCTTTGTGAAAATTATTCAAGGCACCAGAGTAGAACTATTGACATTTCCTTATCTATCCGGATAGCTTCTTATTATGAAAGAATCCAAAAGTACTGGTACAGATTTAAATCAACAGCGGTGAGGGACAGGTAGTGAAGTCAACGAACTTAACCATTCAGCCACGGGCGTCCCGCAAATGTCGAGTTATATTATAATGGGAAGGTTAACAAAACAAGCTCTATAAAAGAAAATATTGACAAACACTTCAGTCTTATACAATTAGCATATTCTTCCTTTGGTCTCATTTTGAAATTTCATAAATTGTAACTTAACTGCTCACTTATCTTCAATTAATTCAGGAAGTTCACACAGATTGATTTTGGACAAAAAAACAGCAATTACTGATAAATGAAACTTTTTGGTCAGGATCAAAGACTATTTTTTAAAAATTCATTGTAAGTTCCCAAGAACAACAATTGCACACTTCATTATTAGATTTTGAAACTACTTTGAAGACAAGCTAACAGGTTTTTCAATGTTGTTATATACTGGACTAAAGTCTGTAGATTCAACATCAAAGGTGAGAGGTCACAAAAGGGATTTGCCTGTTCAGTGTGACATTCCTTTAACCCAACAAAAATGTTTGATATCCGGAAGGCTGGTGTAATAGGCAAGACGCAAGTATATGGCGTCAATAGCAAGGGCACACTTAAAAGTCTAAAGGCAAAAAGTGGCGTTTTCTCAACATGTATATTGCATGTTGTTTTCACTCTATAGGTCACTCAAGTTTTAACTTTGAAACACATGTGACAAAACTGGACACTCATGTCATGCGGACATCTATGCCCTATGGAAAAATGCACATGGACATGAGAACCGATGTCCAGTGAAAAATAGCATGTGAACAAATGGCTATATATGTCTTATGAACAAATGGGTGAATACCCATGTCCAATGGTCAATAAGCTGTACATTCTAATATAAGATTAAAGAACACATGGCTAAGCACCCATGTCCGATTGACAAATACCTGAACATTCATGACATATGGACAGAAAGCTTAGTAACCATTTCCAGTGGACAAATTTCTGAGCATTAATGCTATGTGGACAAAACTAAATTGAGCTTCCAGCTCTTTGTCATAAAATCCAACAAATTGTTTATATATATTAGAAGAACAAAGAAAGTAATTAATATATTTTATTGGATGTCTTCATAAACTGCAGTTTTCAATCACATTTATTCCGAATTCTTAAACTGTACTAGAAGTCTTTAAGCTGTTGTTTGCTTTTTTGCCTCCCCTGATCAGAAGTATTTAAGCTATTCTATTTGTCACCCGTGATCACTTTTTAGCTTTGGCTGCTTCTTGGGCTGCTTTCTTTGCTCGAATTAATTCCACCAATTCCTGAATATGAAAAAAAATATATTAAAGTCTTTTCTTCACTATACATGAAGACCAATGTTGTCATGTTTATAAAAAACATAATATTTAATTGAGCTACACTTGGTCATTTTCTCCTCATTTGGACCTAAAGATATAGTATGCTGAAATTTGATGTTAGAAAATTTTGATAATTGCTAGAGTCTCTTTGTAAATATAAACATGTTTTGACTTCACATGAAGTAGATATGTTGTGTTTAAAATTCTACACACTATAAATGTTCACATTATCAACAACATACAGTGACATTAAAAAAACTGGCATTCTTTTCAGAAAGTACCAACTTTACTTGATCTGTAAAAGGGAACACAGCTTCCAATACATAGATTATTCATTCTTTTATTCAAATAAGATGTATTCAGTAAGAATTTCATAGATTTCAATACATTTCTGAGATTAAAATATTTAACTCAAGGATAAAGATAGTAAATCCTTCTTATTATCAAGATCATATAGATCTCTGACACTCATTAGCAGAGAAATACCTTAGGTGCTAGACAATGCATGGCATTTAAATAACTCCTCCCCAACCCACATGATGCACATAATGGCAGGGTTTTTTCTGGGATTTTGAGAACATGACCCATACCCATGGAATTGGGAATTTTGGCGATGTTTTGTTAAAAATTGGGAAAAATTGCATGACTTAAATTTTGCAGAGATTAAATGAATGCAAAAATTAACTGTCTAGGATGGCATCTTCAAATATTTAAACACCATAACAGTGGAGAAGCCCTTATTTTTGAAGATTTTATAATTTGTTATTCAATATTTTTATTTTGTAAAATTCAATTGAGAATTTTTTTCCTGTGGATTGGGAAAATAATATACTGTTTTCAATTGGGAATATGACCAATAATCAGCTATAAAATAAGGCAAAAAAAATCCCTAAATGGTCTCATAAGACTTCTGTGCATCAAAATAGTAAATATCATTAAATCAACTTAAGAACATATAAAATATCATTCAGTGAACTACTGAATTCAAAATTTATTGGTCACCGTTTGGCAAAATTTAATCTTCAAGGACATAAATGATGACATGCCCCAAAGTTCGCAGAGTCAGTATCTAAAAGGGCAAATGGAGTCTCAAAAATAGGTAGGGGATTAAATAAACACCGTCCATACCTTATATCTCTTCATGCAATCCTTTTTACTCCTTGTTGGAACAGCCTCAGCTATCCTCTCCCATCTCTCGGGGGTACTGGCAGGGTAAGTTTTCAGCGCTTGTTCTAACAATTTCTGCTCATCTGTAGTCCAGGGGGCCGGGTTGGTACCCATTTCTCTTATCTGTTGCTCAGCCACAGCTAAAAATATATATACATAACAAATTACAAGGAATATGTATCTGAGTATTCCAGTAAACAAATAACAGACAAATTACAAGGAGTATCTTTTTCATTCCAGTAAATAAATATCAGACATATTCAATTCTTTCAGAAAGTTTGTGATGTGTCCTCATTTTGCTTAGTTGTTACCGACATGTATTTATTTGACCTATTTATCTATTCCCCTATTCTTTGTTATTTGATTTATTTATTCATTTATCTATCTATCCATCTATTCATTTATTTACCAGGCTGTCCAGCACCTTCTGACAAAAAATTAGGGCAAATTTTAGGGCAATTTTTAAGAAATTTTAGGGCTAAAATTTAGGAATTTTAGGGTAAATAAAAAAAAATTTAGGGCTCAAATTTGGAATTTTATTTTATACTAAATCATGGCCTCAAAAGACCATGATATCAGGGCTGGCAAAATCTGATTTTGACTTACTTGTCTGCTTTTATGTGAAGCATCATTTAACTTGTCCGTAACTATGATATTTACATAGTTTATTCTTGAAAATTTTCACTTGCCCGTACAGGCTGTGGGACAACCTGGGTAATACGGACAATTGATTTTGCAGGCCCTGCATATGGGCTCAATTTTGCATATTTGACACAAAAGTAACTCACAAATAATGCTCTAATTCACTTATAGCAAATGTGTTACCAGTGTTCCATAGTCACCAGTGAATAAACTGATTCACTGGTCAACTGCCTTAAAAAAGAGCTGAAAAACTACATTAAAACATAACTAGAATGAAAACATTTTCAAAGTTATAAGAATCCAGGAACAACCAATATTCAAGCTATGATTAGCCAATAAAAATGTAACTTCCTTGGAAATTTTTTATCACAATTTTAAACAGGTGACTATTTTAATATAGTCAAAGTGTTACAATTTTCATTGTTCCATAAGAAACTAACAGTTTCTTATATTTTTCTGATAACATCTGACAATTAATCAAGTTAAAATAATTAGTAAAGATATAATAAGCCGATAATAAATGGGGAAATTATGCTTTAAATTTATTTTAGCTATAAATGCATTTCTTATCAACATTTTAAGGTTGGTACATTTTCAACAAGTCTTGATCTTTCTTAAAAAACAATAAAAATGATATGACCCACTAGAGTCATTCCCAGGCATATCTAAACTTAAATTCAAACAGCAGGATATACATCTATGAAGAATTTGTTCAAGATAAATCAGGTTACTAAAAATTGTAGAAAATTTCACTGTTCAAGATAAATCAGGCTACTAAAAATTGTAGAAAATTTCATTGTTCAAGATAAATCAGGCTACTAAAAATTGTAGAAAATTTCACAACCGTGTCAGTTTTTTCAATGATTTTCAACAGTTTTTTTTCCCAGATTTTAAAAAAACTTACACTATATGTTACAACATATGTTCAGTACATGTTAATGTGTACAAAAAGGGCAGCTGAAGGTGTCACTTCTTAGTACGCTAATTGGGTAGCAAAATGGTTAAAGCATTCAATCATTACTGCCAGTTTATTTTACCCATTTTATAATTAGCAAATATGGAAACTTGTCTAGATCTGCCAGCTGCTATCACTTACAAAAGATCTGTTCTACAGTCATCACTTGAAATTAACTTGATTTCAAATTAAGATTTTATTAATATGGACCCCTGCATAAAGTCTGACGAAATTTAGTGATACATTGTGTAAAATTTTTTAAAGTTGCTTTAAATACACCTAAGACTAAGGTAAATGGTAAAACTCTGCAGCCAATAAAAATTTGACTTTCTTGGAAATATTTTATTACAATTTTAAACAAGTGACCATTTTGATATAGTCAAAGTGGTACAATTTTCATCGTTCCATTTAAAACAAACAGTTTCTTATTATTTTTCTGATAACATCTGACAATTAATCAAGTATGGTATTTCTGCAGGAGTTGAAGTAAATGCAACATGTGACTTATGCAATTTAGTCAAACATGATATCAACTCCACTGACTGTGTTTGAATTTAGGTTGTGATTGAAACATGGTTGTTTCTGGATATGTTTATCACAAAAGATAAAAAAATAGGAATTTTAGTTAAAAAATAGGGCATTTTTAGGACTTCCCTTTGAATTTTTCATTTTTTTAGGAATTTTAGCCAAACTGAAAAAAATTAGGATTTTTTAGGAATTTTAGGGACGCTGGACAGCCTGATTTACCTATCTATGAATTTCTCTTTATATTTTGATATTGTTTTGATCAAGTTTTACGTCACTCAAACACAGTATAGGTCATATGATGAGGATACAGCTTAACTGGTGTGGGAAGACCTCAGTTGGCTTTCCATGCAATATTTCAGGCACAAACAGGCACCTGAGTAGAACCAGTGTTGTTCTGTAACCTCTATATATTTATTTCTCTATCCATTTTTTTTTACATGTATTCCTATATTTCTTTATTGAATAATTTTTCAGTTATCCAGACATTGCTCAAGTTTTGGAACTTTTTTCCTGCTTAGTTAACTTAGGTGAAGAAAGACCTCAGGTTCCTCTCTATGCATGATTTTAGGCTAAACTGGGCAGCTGAGTGAAACTGTAAGCCAGATATGTTTAGCTTTCTCACATGAAAGTCATCAATTTTACATACCCCCCCCTTACAACACACACCCAAAAAAGGCGGGGTGGGGGGGGGGGGGTAAGAAGAGATATCCTTAAAAACCTTTTACTCAATTTAATTTTTTTATGTTTTTTTTATCATAAATTTGATGCTCAAATGAAGATTTATCAATATTGTAAGTTCAAAAAAGCATTATTTGTTTATTTGTAAAGATATTACTGAATTTACATTTCATGTAAATAAAGGGAAGTAATTAGAAATCTATTTTTCGATAAAGTCAAAGCCAAATTTTTCAATGCATAGATTTTAAATTTTAACTTATAATGCAAATAAACATTTGCAGTACATATTTAACAAGAGTTAAAGAATATTCTTAACATGTACCTGCTTGATAAATGACATTAAAAAACACTATTAAATTAAAGAGATAATATTTTCACAAATATTTCCGCATGCAGAAACTGAAAGTCCACTTTTTGACATTCGCAAATTTTTTGTGACACATAAATATCAACTTATACAGTATGTAACAACCAATGAACCTAGTGGTAAAATTACACAGCTAAATAAGAGAGTAAGGTAATAATACTTGGTTTAAACATATTTATTTCAGCTCGATTGCGAAACAAGTTCTTGCAACTTTATTAATCACTTTCGAGTCTGCTTCCTGGAACCAGCCAGTACTGGTGTCATATGAAGAAACATAGTCATGACCGGAGTAGGGCACGAACCCATGATCTCTGGTTTGAGACACCTTAACCACTAGGCCACCGCTCCCCTGTTATAATACTTACATTCCACTCTCTCACTAAGTACACCTTCCTTAGGTTTGGCCTGATTAGCTTTCTTCTGCTCCTTCTCAAAGTTCTGGAACGCCTGCTCTGTAGCCTTACTCTTCAGTGTTGTATCTGTCAATATTGTTAAATTAATTTGAGCCGCATCATGACAAACCAACATAATGGGTTTGCGACCAGCATGGATCCAGACCAGCCTGCGCATCCATGCAGTCTGATCAGGATCCATGCTGTTCGCTATCAGTTTCTCTACTTGTAATAGGGTTGGTAAGCGAACAGCATGGATCCTGATCAGACTGCGCGGATGCGCAGGCTGGTCTGGATCCATGCTTGTCGCAAACCCATTATGTTGGTTTTGTCATGACACGGCACATATGTTAATATCGTTAAGATATCATAGAAAATTTACATTTTGCATATACATTTTCGTTTTTTGCTGTACTGAAATGTATTGTAGATCTACTATAATGAACAGAAATTAGCATTTTTTTTCATCCCCAAGATTCAATACAGAAATAAACCTTTTATGATTGTTAAAAAAAAAATCAACCAAATCAGTCAAAATTAATCCCCTGCTCAGCCCAATACAGAGAGCGTTGAATTTGTAACCCTGGTTTGATCATTGGGGCAGATGAAATTTCTCAGCAACAAATGATTTTGTACATTGAGTCTTATAGTCATTTGTCCTTCACTGCTGATTCAGTATTTATGTGGAACTGGTAATCGGCCACTTGTGGAGAAATAGGTATCTGCTTGCCAAGTTATCCAGGAAAGCTGGTTAGGTGGCCAGAATGGTACATCTGTACTCAAACTGTGTATTATAATTCTACAACAACCCACTCAACATTGATATCTGTTCCATATAAAAATTCCGCCATTGAGCAGCAGGCAGGGGCAGCAAAATTTATTGTCTATATTACCCCAGTTTTCCCACAGTCAGTACAAACTTAGTGCAGTTTTACAAGAATTTACTTTATAAATACAACACAGACAAGTAAAGAGATAAATCAGAAAATAAACGGACAAGCCCTATGTAAATATAAAATATGAACAAAATTAATGGCACTGAATGGAAATTCTGGTCTGGCACTGAGAGGGTAAACAAAGAAACTTTTGCTACATACCATTTTTCTGAAGTTCCTTAGCTTTAGCTAGAACATCTTTAGCATTTTTATCACTACTGGTTACATGTTGTTTGATAAAATTTGAGATAACCTCCCATCTGAAAAATAAACATCACATATTTCTTTTGATAATTATATTATTAATGTACTAAAATTATTAAAAAATATGTTTATTGTTGAATTTCTTGAAATAGGTTCTCTATGACATGACTTATCAACTTAAAACATGTGACATATATTTTTAGAACATTAGAAATCAAACTTATATTTCATTCTGCTCAATGACAGATTTTATATTGCAGTGAAATACAATTCATATCATTCATTGTTTGTGTATAAAAAAAGAGCAATTTTCAAAACTTTATTTTTTGACATAAAATCATGAAGAAACTTATCAAATAATGGGCAGAACTCTTACCTATCTTTGGTTCCTGCTGGAAACACATTAACTCCCTTGATCAAGGTCTGTAACTCAGATTCTGACCATGATTTACCTCCTTTGGAAGATTTTTCACCAGATGTTTTGGAAGTCATTTCTTCCAGCTGTTTTTGCTTTTCTGCTTCAAGTTGATCATTTAATGCCTTGACCTGTATTATAAGGTTATTATACATTGTTGAGTACAATACTGAATACCATACAATAAGTACAAAGCTGTTGAACATTTATTCTCACTTCCCTTCGGAGCGTGCATGTCGCTGAGAAGGCACAGGGCATCGGCAGAAGATTTTCAACTTGGCTGGTAGACAACTTTAACGTAGCCTTCAACCGTGGCTTCAATCGTCACTTCTGCAGACCAGCTGCCGATGTCCTGACTAATGCCGAGGGGAGTGGCCCTACAAAGTAGGCTGAGACGACGAGGATGGTGTACTAGGGTGTGTGAACACCTTTCCTATGTCACGGGTTACTGTACATTTAGGTTCTCATTGACGGCGGTACAGTGACCTACTTTTGGCTCAAAATTCATATCTTTGGCTAATACTCCGTGGAAATTGCATGGAGGTAAATTATCACCATTTTGTGCTTCAAAATTAACTCTTTAAGGACATGACTGGTGACATGTCCGGGGTTTGTACTCGACAGCGAAAGCTGCATTTTGTGCCCAAGAGGGTGGATGGACCTTCATTAAGCTTTAACTACATACATACATACAACCTTTATTGGAAAAGGCTGGCCAGGGTACAATATGGATTTGATATGGATTGTTTTGGATATGTAAAATGAAAACAGATCTAGATAGAGTAAAATTTTGTATCTGAGAGCACTTGAAACTATTTTTTACTTGAACCACATGAAGCTAATTTGAAAAACATGAAGCTTACCTGAACCACATGAAGCTAATTTGAACCACATAAACCACATGAAGCTAATATGAACCACATAAACCACATGAAGCTAATTTGAACCACATAAACCACTTGAAGCTAATTTGAACCACATAAACCACTTGAAGCTTATTTGAACCACATAAACCACATTAAGCTAATTTGAACCACATAAACCACATGAAGCTTATTTAAACCACATTAAGCTAATTTGAACCACATAAACCACATGAAGCTAATTTGAACCACATAAACCACATGAAGCTAATTTGAACCACATAAAGCTTATTTGAACCACATGAAGCTAATTTGAACCACATAAACCACATGAAGCTAATTTGAACCACATAAACCACATGAAGCTAATTTGAACCAAATAAACAACATGAAGCTTATTTGAACCACATGAAGCTAATTTGAACCACATAAACCACATGAAGCTTATTTGAGCCACTTGAAGCTTATCTAGCAACTCTCATGACCTCTTCATGGAAAACAGCACTGGGGTAATATGAAGATACATGGATGAGCCCCAAGCATGGCTCAAACACTTGATACTTGCGTTGAGAGGCAGACATCGTTATCACAAAGCCACCACTATATATATAAATTATAATGCCATAAATTTTCTAAAACATTTACCTGTGATTCAAAGGCATTTTTGGCCTTTTCTTTGTCTCCAGAGGTCAGTGCTTCATTCAATGTCTGTAATCTGTAAAAAGATCAAAATTTACCTTACCATGTTAAAAAATTATCTTAAATGGACTTGTCTTGAAAAAATAACTCATAAGTAGCCAAAATCAATTTATTTATATATATTTTTGTCTTATTGTTAGTTTGATTTTATAGCACAATAACGAAAAGTATGTCATATAGCGCCGAAACAGGAAAGATGATTTTGGCTAACCTCGGATGTTACAAACTTAAAGCAACACCAGGGGTCAAAACAGCCCAACCTGCTGGATCTAAGACTTAAGTTATTCAAACCCTTTATATTGCCTCTTACGCTCATGCAGGGATTATCTGCAGCTGCAATTACATTGCCTTAAAACCTAAAAGGCAACTCCTCAGCCAAAAGGGTAAGTAAACTTTTCAAAACTAGAAATGTGTCCATAGAACATGTATACCTCAACATTACACTTTCCTGTTGGTCTAAGGGCATGCAGTGGGTTATAAGAAAATTATGGTAATCATAAATGAACAAAATATCAGAGGCATAAAAACCCTTTAAACATTATTGTGTTGTTCTTGTTTTTGTTGGGTTCAAGTCACACAGACAAGCTGGGACTTTCCAGTTTTCTTGACAGAGGAAGGTTTCCGGTGTCCCTACCTACATAACATATATTTCAAGCATGAACAAGACACCACACTTAAAACCACCAACCTTTTTGTTAGTCAGTTTATCATTGATCTTAACTACATACCCATTTCCCTCCCTATAACCTTAATAAAACTATCCAACCAGGATAACATAACTTACTTAGTCAACTCCAGAAGTTCCGCTAGTTTATCTAGTTCAGCCATATTGTTGACTTTTTCTGCCTCTTCTGATGTAAAGAAATCATACTCCTGAAACAAAATTAGCATAAATTTTATAAACAAAATATATTTCAACAAATTATTTGTGGTATTCAACTGTATAAGAAAATTAGTCACATTCAACCTTTAAATGAGCAATGATATCCATTCACAAATCTTAATATCTCCCTCTTATTGTCAGTATCACATACATGTACAAATGAAAGTATTTTCTACAAACTGAAAAATGTGTCTCCAACCTTATAGAAATAAAACATAGATACTAAGAAAAAGTAAAAGTTTAATAATACCTTGACAGTTGTTCTAAGTGTTCTCCTTTCTTTCTTTAGAACTTTTTTCTGTGCTTCTTTCTCTTTCTTTAATGCAGCTGCCTGCAATGAAAAAATTCATTTGGATCTAAATTGAAATTTTTATTATCTTTATCATATAAGATTTTTAACAATCTTTAAACTTAGCTCTTTATCTGCAGAAATGTTTATATACAGACTTGACCATCTTCTATTTTAGAATTTTTTTTTTTGGTTGAGGTTTTATGTCACACCAATACCAAGAGGTCATATGACAACTTCCCAGCTTTAAAGGT